GAGACATCAAGCATAGTGGACTGAGCAACTCCTGGATTCAAGGACTTTGCCATTATAGCCAGCCAATGTTCAATTAGCTGGACCACAGCATCTAAGTCACTCTAAAATATAGCCTTTTGTGTCTATAGAAATTCATTCTGTTATCCCATAAAACCCTGACCAATGCACCAGACAGGTATAGAACTTTTAGAGTAGTTTGGGCCTGACAACAGCCTTATCTCACTTATAAATTCCACATGGTCACATTCCCTTAACCTGCTTTTTAGAGGATGCTTTGATGCTGGCCTACTAGGCTTCTATAGCTTCTGGGCAAGAAAGTAAAATAACACAAGTCTGAAATTTCTCAAATGGAACACACAGTAATCTAACTAAACAAGTAATTATATGAGATGGAGAGATTCTAGCTTAAGTGAGGAATGAAAACCCTGATGACTTAGCTTCTGTGGGCCAAGACCTGGCACAGCCCCACCAAATGAAGGCCAGAGGACACAATGTTCTTCTTACCCTTGATGTGACAGCTCCAGTCTGGCGATCCACGGGATAACATCCTTTAAACATGAATTCTCTGACTCACTCTCAGTCTCAGGAGTCAGATCTATTGCAGAGGAGCTTCACAAGTGTCAATCAGTCATCTGGAAGAACTTTCTCAATATAATTTGAGATCTGCTGTGGTAAAAGAGCAGCATCAACCACCTCTCTCCTTTTCAGTCTGTACCGAACCACTCTGCACCAGAGACATGTGGCCCCTGATGCAGGCTCCATCCACTCCACATAGTCAATGAGGTTCCTCCCAACATTTCTTATCTGGACCATCAAGAGGGATTCCTCATCCCACCTGCACCCCAGGACAGGCTTTTCAATTCTGCATTTCATCAGACAGTCTTAATACGTGTTGTCAACCAAGAAGAGATCTAGCAAATCTGTGCCAGTCTGACAGTGAGTGATACTGGAGCAGGATCTTGAACCTATGAGAGCCCTGCATGGATGTGTGGCAGCCTAAGACAGTTAGCATGCCTGTCCCAACAGGTTTCAAGAAACTTTTGGTTGGGAGTGATCCAATCCACCTAAGACAGCACACATGGCTGGGAGGACAAGGTCAGTTGCAGGGACTGGAGAGATGGCTCATCCATGAAGAGCACTCATTGCTGTCTCAGAAGACCCACAGGACAGCTAACAAACCTCTT